ACGATCGACAAGCCGAGCGTGAGACGTCTTTAACTACATTAGTTTCAACTAACCATCACATACAAGAATGGTTTTCCTCGACCTATGTTGCACTGTCTCATTTCTTCTGAGCACCACAAGAACATATATGACATACAAATATCATTTATCCATTTGTTTAATTCCACATGTGTTTACCTGTAATAATAATAGCTAGCAAGTCAAATAGATATTTGACATTATTTGGGCATGGGCATGGGATAATGATCTCGACAAACTAAAAGGAAGCATGGATCATCATCAATTGCTTTTAATTATTATTAACTACATACTAACTGTACATAAATCCATTAGTTATTGGACAAATTAAAGCAAGTAAGGAGAGAGAATATATTGTATCTACTCTCTTGTCTGTTTTGAACCCAGCCAATGATGGATCATGCTCTAATAGTCTTTCACAAGAGAAGAGAAGGGGTTGCCTCCTAGAGCAGGGTCGAATTATTTGAGTGTTCATGTTTGGTGGATCATGCCCGGCAAATACCCTATATACGTATTCCAGTATTATTTTATCATATCTTTATAAATGACAGTAATAAAATAAGGTGAGAGAGAAGTATAGCTAGATATGGACAAGCCAAATCTAGCAGGTTCGGAGCATGTGAGATATTCCAAAATAGGGTCCCAACAAGGGGCAGGAAGATGAGATTTTTAATTAATAATTAATAATAATGCATGATAGAAAGAATAAAGACTAAAGAACAGAGAGAGAGGGAGCGTTTGGATTATACGTATATGCCTACCCTTTTTATTCAGTGCATTGTATTTGCATCTCTCTCTCTGACACATTCCTCCTTTTTTCCTATCCCTCCGTTTCATTTAGTCATTTTCTTGGCCTAAATTATCAACCCACCCAATACCCTCTTATTATTATATATTACTACCTCTAGTTCTAAATGTAAAAATTATTTGACTAATTTGAGTAAATTAAGAAAATAAGTTAAGTTAGTTATTTGTAATAAATATGTATTATCTTTCCTAAAATATCCTTACTAATCAAGTTTATCGACTAGAACTACTATTATTAAAAGCATTATCTTTAAAAAAAAAGATAAATATAAAAGATAAAATAGATTGCAGTCTTATATTTAGGATTAAAATAAAAATCAAATAAGATCATATATTAAAAACCGAAGATAGTAGCATGTCAAGCTATGGGGATAAGCCTCCATGCATGTTTCTTTGAATTGGAACGTACACCGACGCTACTCTCATCCCTTGCGGCGCACCCAATAATCTCATCCTGCAAGCTAAGGTGCATTCACCTTACACTGATTGATCCCACCTAAAATGAAGAAGGAAAAAAAAGAAACGAAGATAGAAACAACATGCATGATCATTCCTAATTTGACCGACCTTTCTTTCGCCAACACAGACCTTGCACGTGTTGTTGCCATGCGTACTAATATTTGATTCAGTTTGGATGCTCATCACCCAAATGATAAGCACCAAATTCGAACTTTCCAAATCAAAATTCGACGGTTTGGATTTAATCTAATTTTGTTTTTTTTTTAATGGCATTAGGAATCATTTGTGTATTGATATGAAACGTTGATTGATCACGAAGTCATACATCCATATATATATATATATATATATATATATATGGTGTCCACTATAATACAATGGTCGCAATATTGCCCACCAAACTAGAGCAATAACGATAAAACAAGTAATAACTCAGACATGTTATTATTTTTATTATTATTTGCATTTGAATATGTAAGGTTGAGTTTATTTATTTATTATTCAATTCAAATAATTAACTGATACTGTATTGAACAAGGCCAACAACTCATCACGTTGAATGTTGCACAGCCGGCCAACCGTCCAAACTAGCCAAATAAGAGCAAAAATTCAGCGAATTTAATTTTTTCCCATGTAAGTATTTGGCCAAGTCCGTCCTAGCTATACCGTGTTGCCAGCCTATCTCTTCGCCTGCTACATTTAAGACCACTTCTTCTTTACTCGTATTCTCAATATAATACTTCTCCAGTTCTAAATATGGGTCTCGTACTACAAAATAGGTTTTATATTTAAAACCGAAAGAGTAACATAATTTTTATAGAATTAGTTTTTGCTGTAAAAAAAATCATGACCACGTCTTATTTCTCAAAAAAATCATGGCTTGAGGCATTTTCTCTACCCCTTCTTACCCTGAAAAAGCAGGGACACCTTGCGTCCTTAAACCGATATGAAATGCATTTTCAATTGATTTTTATATCACATTGAATGGCAAAAATAATTGGCTATATTGCAGCTGTTTGGATTGCCGTTGGAGGGAGAAAACTTGTATTGGAATTTATGAAAAGGAGATTTGTGGGGGTGAGTTGAAGTTTTTGCAATGTTTAGGTGCACTACCAATTTTGTTTTAAAAATTAAAAATTGGTCGCGGCTGCAGAACGCCAAATTTTGAGCTTTTGGAGTTGCCAATGTCAAGCGATAAAGTATTTAAGTGAGTCCTATATTGATCCAATAATTTATTTTTATCAATAATAATTTAATTATTTTGTATTTATTATTATTTTTAGATTTATCAAAATATATACATATGATATACTATCTCAAACCCTTAATATAAGACCCAATGAACTAATTTGAAGAGATTACAAAAGCTAAATAAATTAGTTAATTATATTTTATATTACATGATCTTTCTAAAATATTTATATATATCACTAGATTAAAAATTAATTTATAAGTCAGACAAATTAGTTTGAAACAATAATACTCTTTTAATTATTTTACATTTAAACTTACTTTTTCATTACTTATCTAAATAAGTTTTAATTTATAAATTAATTTTTATAAAAATCAATCCAAATAAAAATCATATTATACTACTGACACATTTGCAAAAGTCACATGAAATAAAAAATAGTTTTACCGCCACTCCAAATTCTTCCTCTCACGGCGTCGTCAGAATTTGAGAAATGAGTGGGCTTGAGCTTCATCCTCAGTTTTCATCCCAAAAAAAAAAAAGCTCAACAAAGAAGGCTCAAACCTTTCACTTGCATATATTGTGGCCCAACAACACGGAGACATTTTCGACCTTTTAATTTTCCTTTTCAAATGACATGACTTTCTTATGGGCCGAGCCCGCTCCCACGTATACCCGAAAAAGTTAAAAAACAAAAAGGGGCATTTTCCTCACTTTCAAGAAAAACATAACCTAACCAAAGGGTTATAGGTTTAGTAGGAAAGATCAGTCTCTCATAACACAACCTAACCTTAGTTTATTATGGCCAGAGGAGGGGGGGGAAGAAGCAAACAGAATATATGTGCTATGGTTCATTTATTTTGGCAGTGATTTTCTTTGTTCTTTTTTCCTCCCAGAATCTTGTCAAAATTCTTTACCTCGTCGGGTGTGACAAGAAATTTATAAAATTCGTAAACATAAATTAAGCACATACTTGCATGGAACATCACAAGGCACAAAAAGTACACACACACTCTTTGTATCCCTATTATGTAATTTGAGACTACTGGCCAACGGTACAATGAACGATGGGGTCGGTGAGGAATTTAAAATAATTATTTTAGTACATAAATTACCAAGTCCCCACGCGCTATTTACCAAAAAAAAAATTGTACATAAAATATAATTGTTTTGAGCTCTGTCGCTTGGCCTGGTGGTTAGAAAGGGTGTCCAAGGTGTGCACTCGCCTCCAGGTCTCGGTTTCGACATCTCACCCCGTCTTTCTAGGCAAACTCCGGATTAGTCAATCCCTTTAGGGTCGGATAGTGAGGTAGCTATAACCTAATTAAAAAAAAAAACAATTTTTTTAGTACCAAAAAACTATAATGATTCTAAATTTTACACCAATAAATAAAAATAAATCTCATCAAAATATTTGTTACCTTTGCAATAAGTATACTTTGGGTCCAAAATAACCTCGCATAACAAAATTTATTGTATGCTGAAGGCTATCCATGAGAAAAATCATCACAGAGAGTTCGACTATTACGTTTGAATGGCATTGGAAGGCCAAGGGAGCTTATAAAATGATGTATTGACAAAAAATGATATGGAGTTGATGATAGGGACATGCACTCAGTGTAATTGTCTTGTGTTTTATTGATACTTTCTTAAGAAAACAAACCATTCATGTGAGAGACTGAAGCAAGGAGGGGAATAGAAGTAGGATCGGTCTTCACAAAATATCTATGTTAAAATATTTTTACTAATTTTAATTTTAAATATACGATTTAATTGAAAATTTATTGCGTATATCGCCAGAAAAATTTGCTTTAATGATGAATATAAAATCTTAATTTTTTTATTGTTATATTTTTTATTTTTAAAATTATACTTGTTGACTACACATATTTATTAATGCAAATAGTTTTTAAGATAAATGATCAAAAGGAGGAATATTTTAAAATATATTCTTTATAAATAACTAAGAGAAAATAATAAAAAAGTTAAAAATTACTAAATCACAAATCAGATTTGGTAATAATATTTTATTTGGTAGTAACAACACTGAATTGCAAATGATAATAAATTTTGTTTGACATTTCTTATTTAGAATTTAGTAATTTCTAACTTTTTTTGTTATTTTCCCAGTAAAAAATTAGAAGCAGGGATAGTATCTTTAAAAAAGGAGAATTACAATAAAATTTTAAAAAAACATAATTATTAAAAAGTCTCAATAACAACATAAGCAGTATGATAACTTTTAAAGTAGAAAATGATAATTTCTGGGGCTTGTTTGATAATTATGTTTTTTTAGGACTTCATTGTAATTCTCTAAAAAACAAAACATATTTTTACAGGCAATTAATTTAACTAGGTTTTTGAAATTTATATAATTAATTATTTAATTCTTTTTGTTTTTATGGTTTTAAAATGACAGAATAAAACAATAGAAGCACATGACGAGCGATGAAGGAGATCCGGTTAATCATTCGGTCACGGGGGATCCGCGAAAATATGCGACGCAATATTAAGCCGGAAGACCCAAATCCACATCCCAATCCCATAATCCCGTTCGAATTCGCCCTAGAGGGAACGTGCAGAGGGCATCCTATTCTGAGACACGAGAAGGCGCCGAGCCCCGCGAGCTTGAGAGGTAGAGGGATATAGAGAGGGAGATCTGCGCTCTAGGGTTTTGGTATATCCAGGTTTCCCAAGGTTAGTGAGTGCGCAATCCAAAGATTTTCTTGTATTTTTGTCTTTTTTTCTTCGAGCTGTAATTCAATCGCTGTTGAACTCCAGGCTCCAAAGGTGATTTTCATTTGGTATATGATGACGAAATTTGTGTGTGAGAAAGAAGTGTGCTTATTATGTGCAGGGGGCGAGTGTGAGAGATTTAGAGAGAGAGGGGTGAGAACGCTGAGTGCTGAGCTGAGAGAGAAGGTGGAGAGAATTTTTCTATTTTTAAATGTTTTAGGAATTTCTCCCCCTGCTGCCGTCGGTTCTCTGTCCTTGCATCTTGTCGAATTTCCTCATGGAGCAGCGAAAACTTGTGGTTAGTCCTTGTCATTCAGTTTGTTTGCGTTTACATGTTACCCGTAAATTACAATGCTAAAGCTTCTCATATTTCCCCCCTTTTTAATTCTATGTTTCCTTGATTAGTTAATCCTTTGCTGTAATCACATAACTGCATCTCAGGTTTTGGGTATTCCTTGGGAAGTCGATACTGAGGGGTTGAAAGATTATATGAGCAAATTTGGTGAATTGGAAGATTGTATTGTCATGAAGGTCAGTCCCTTGTGGTCTCTCTCTCTCTCTCTCTTGTACCCGGGGTTTAAGCACTCCTGTGTATTATTATGGCATATGTGTTTGATGACCATTAACCTTGAATTGACCCAGTTAAACGTGATGATTTTATTTTATTTGTTATTTGTTAATATTAGCTGGTTATATTGATTAAATTTTCTTTTCATACACTTTGTACCTGTATGAACTAAGGTTGATTGATTATGGATCTTTTCTTTTCTTTCTTTCATTGTTTTTTTCCCCCAAATGAGATGATCCATAGTATTTATTTATCCTGGAATCTGGATGGGAATTGATCTCACCAATAAATTGTGCAATAAAAGCAAGTCCCCTTAACCTTTCACTGCATTACAATTCTTGGTTAGTAAAATTTAGGCCTCTCTCAGTCCAAAGAAATCTTAAGCAATCTGATAAACAATTTATCATCCTCCTTACTTTTAACATAGATTTCCTTGCTGTAAAATTTTGAATATAAATTTTATTTTTCCTACCTCAATGCACCTGAGTTCCATTGGAAGTGTAAGCTGATTTATCTGCTTTGGTGTAATCCATGCTCTATTTTCTTGTAAAGGCAGGCCAAAAATTCTATTCTAATAGTTTAGTGTCAACTGACAAGTGGATACTTGTACTTCCTTGGTGAAGATTGGAGAATGGAACTTAAATGCATAACCTTGGTGTAGTAAAAGAAGTCAGAAAATAAGCTAGTCTTATACTTTATGGCTTTACTCGTAGGTGATCAAGCATAGTTGTCTTATAGAGGGTTAGTTGGAGTATAGAGTTATAGATCAATTAATGTTGATCCTAAAATATTGTTTTTATTGTATTGAAATTTTCTGGACGCATGTTTTACTAATAGTATTTGTGAATTTTAGGAGCGGTCAACTGGCCGGTCTCGTGGTTTTGGATATGTTACATTTGCATCAGTTGATGATGCTAAGGTAATGATTTATATACGTTTACATATATTTATAGCTGGCGATGCATATGTGCTGAGTCTTCAGTGTGACGACATTATGGCTGCAGACAGCATTATCAAGCGAACATGTTCTTGGCAATAGGATGCTGGAAGTCAAAGTGGCCACACCAAAGGTTTCCTTCTAACTGATATTTATGTTTCTAATCTTATGTTTCTACTTTTTCTAGCCTGCTTTGGTTCTTTTCAATTTTTGTGTTGTTTTATGTCTGTATAATTCCATGGACATAAAGATTTACTTATTCTTGATATTGTGCCTTCGTGTTGAAGGAGGAGATGAGGGCACCAGTGAAGAAAGTTACCAGAATTTTTGTGGCCAGGATTCCACCATCTGTAACAGAAGCAACTTTTAGAAGGTATGGATGTTCTTTCTTCATTAAATGGGTGATAAGACTCTCCTTGCCTTGTTGTATCCTCTTTAAATGTATCAATTAGTATCAGGAGGTGATAATATTATAGCATTACTCTCATTCCGATTTTCCTTCTTGCAGTCATTTTGAGAAATATGGTGAGATAACAGATTTATACATGCCAAAGGTACTTCTGTCCCTGTGATCAATAGACACATTAATACATACGTTTATGTATGCACTTTATTGTTTGAACATTTGTGTGTATTCAATTGCCCTACAGATCTTGTCCTTTTCTTTTCTTTCTTTTTTCCTTTTTTGAGAGGATGCATCATGATTTATTTCAATTCTGCTAGTGGAATAAGGCTTCTTGTTGTTCATACAGGACCAGGGCTCAAAATCACACCGGGGAATTGGTTTCATAACTTTTGCTAATGCAGGTACCTAATTCTCTCTCATGCTTGCCCAAAAGGAAAAGAAGATTCTCTCTCAGCTGTGCTTTTAGCTGTTTGCATTTTATAAATTTATAATGGCACCATTTTTTTTTTTAATAATTAAACATCATCTTGGCAATTTTCTTGGATTTTGATAAACATTGGCAAAAAGAGAAATTTGAGAGTAATTTAATAGTTAATAAGGCGGGAACATCTGTTTTTGGTAAAATACAAAACCAAGGACAAGGTAATTTGTGTTTTGCTTAAATGTCAGCTTGATAGGCACACGAGTTGTTGCTGCAGAAGTGAAGTGGAGAAAGTTACTGGGAATTTTTTTTTTTTTTTTGGGGATGGGTTTGAAATCCTCCTAAATTTCTTGAAGTGTCCCAGAGTCTTTTTAAGGGTGGAGACCGGGGTGACACAACTCGTCTTCAAATATATGCATGCAAAGCTTCATAGAAGTTTTACCTGGCAGGATGGAGTTGATAGAGAATAATATTCCGTAATTTCTACCCATCGGTACTAGGTTGATAATAATGTATTTTGTAGTCTAGTGATAGGCATTTATTAGAAGTCTTGGTTCTACTCCTTATGGCCCTTCATTATGTTTTCTCGATGTCAAATTTGTAATTAGGTGTGTGGATTCAAAAGTCCGTGAAAAACATTAGTATGTCATTTCTGTCCAGTGCAAGGTATTAAAAGCCTGCGAGTCATTGAATTGGTGACTCACCGGTTTAGAGTTTAGAGCCTGTGGGTGAACTAGTTATAATTAATTAACATAATATAATTTTATTTATATTCTATTTTAATTTTAATTATGAAATAAATTGTAATACAAATATACAAAAATATTTCAACTGAACAAACAACAATAAAATTAAAAAAATAAAGATGGGAAGTATAAACATAATTTAAAAAATTTAATAAATATTTTATAATTTAAAAATTAAAAATAAAATAACTGTGACTTAAATGTGCTTATAGTTTACAATTTTATAATGGTTATCAGTTTTTAGTCTTGATGGATTAAACCCATGGTTTGCATAAGAAGTTGTATTTTGGTTCTTTCAAGTGTAGATTTGTCTTGTGTTGATGTCTCTCGGGGCACCCTTTGGAAGTCAGTGTCATCAATAAAACTTTCATGGCCTTCATGACATCGTGGAGAAACTTAGTCTTTCCTTAGAAATATGGTTGAGAAGATGGACCAAGCACTGAAAGAATCTTTTTGCGTTGCAGAATCTGTGGAGAATTTAATGGCAGATACTCATGAACTGGGAGGTTCTGCTGTGGTTGTTGATCGGGCAACACCAAAGGCAAGATTTTGTATAGTTAAAAGGAGCTGCAAAATTCTGATTAACTGTATTTTCATGGCCGGATAGGAAAAACTTTGCTGCCTTAAGTTTGTGAAACTGCTTTAATGTGCACAAGTCCATTATTTACTCACAGAAAGATGTCTGATCATCAGTAATGTTCTGTGTGATTTTTTTTAGTTGATTAACTTTAATTCTATCCTGTCAGGAAGATGATTTCAGGCCTATTGGCAGAATGTCACAGGGAGGGTATGGTGCATACAATGCATATATATCTGCAGCAACTAGATATGCAGCCCTTGGTGCTCCTACTTTGTATGATCATCCTGGCCCAGTTTATGGAAGTAAGCATGGAAGCAGTGTCCCATGTTGTTGACCAGTTGTTATAACTTGCTGATTGCCTTGTTGTTTTAATTTTTAGGGGAGAACCCATTCGTGGAATGGGCAAAAAAATTTTTGTTGGCCGCCTTCCCCCTGAAGCAACAGCTGATGATCTTCGCCAGTATTTTGGAAGGTTTGGCCGTATTTTAGACGTATATGTTCCAAAGGTGAGAAATTTTATTAAGAAACAAAAGCATTTGTGAATTTTGAAAGATGACTTATTGCTTGTCTCGTTGGTTCTAGGATCCCAAGAGAGCAGGCCATAGAGGTTTTGGTTTTGTAACTTTTGCTGAAGATGGTGTAGCAGATCGTGTCTCTCGGAGGTCTCATGAGATTTGTGGACACCAGGTACTTTAATTGGATTTAGTTCTGTGTATGCCATTATTTAAATCTACAGGAGTCCTCTGTTTGCTGTTTTGCCTCTCTCTCTCTCTCTCTCTCTCTCTGCGCCACCCCCCTTTTGGAGGTGAATTTTGAACGTAGTGTTTAAGATGATGTTTTAAGGGATCCGTGTCTGGAAATAACACCCCCCCTGGCCCAAAAAAAAGGGTGGAGCTCAGTGCCGATTATTACCTAGAGGTCTAGGTGATATTATATCACAATACACAATGCACAGTATGACATTATTTAATTATTTAATTAGTAGAATAACTTTCCTCTGCCGGAAATGAAAATTTAAAATAACACTGCAATTAGAAAATGATAATATGTTACTTGATTTGACCTTAGAAAGTGTAACCTATAGTAATGAACTGTGCCAGTTATCTTACTTTCTTTGATAGATTATATAGAATAGCATAGATGGTACGAAATATGAAAAAATGGTTGCGTGCGAGCAAAGACGCCCATGATATATGTATAGATTTCACCAGTACAAATGGACCTACAGCAGTCTCGAATATGTGGATTTTTTTGACATCACAATGTCAGCTCCAGTGGTGAATTTTTTATGATGCATGCACGTGCACATGTGGAGGTTTCACAGATTTATTCTTCTGAATCATGTGTTGCTCTAAATTCCCTGTGTAGTCAATGCATGGTTTGAGTTACAAACTTGCATATGCAGGTTGCTATAGATTCAGCCACGCCTCTTGATGATGCTGGGCCCAGTTCGAATTTTATGATGAGCAGTGTGGATACTTTTGGGGGATATGGTGGTCCTATGCGCACCTATGGGAGGATGTATGGTAGCCTGGACTTCGATGATGTAAGTACATCACTGATTTTATGATCGAATTATTGAACTAGACTTCGATGATGTCTGTACGTCAATGATTTTATGATCGAATCATTGAACTAAGTACAAAGCTTTGTTTTGATGGAGACTTCAGTTTTATTTGTATACTTTTGTGTAAATTATGTAAAATTCAATTAATTGTCTGCTGGTGCAAGTGTACCTTGCATCAGAACGATCTGCTAAAGCACAAGACTATTGAATTTAAAGTGCATGTTTTGGACTTAGGCACTGTATTTGGTTTTGCAGTGGGGTTATGGAATTGGAAGTGCAAGACCATCGAGGGCAGATTGGAGGTATAGGCCATACTGAGGAGCGTGAAGCATGAGTTTCAACAATTAGTGGTCTTTCTACCATCAGCTCCGTTGGTTTGGATTGACCTCTCTTTTGTAAACATCCAGATAAACACTTTGTTGTTACTTTATTAACTTATTCAGTTAACAGTAATGGAACGCGTGGTGAAAAAACGGATTGGCGTCTGTAACATGTACTTTGCAGGCATGTCTACTGTTATATGTTCTCTTATTATAGCCCCTAGCTCAAAGGGAAAATTATATCGATGTGATTAACTTTTAAATTTTATGAATTCGATGATTTCATGGTTATTTTCACCTGCAAAATGATTGAGATTGGTTGCATTGCTCGACTATGGGGAATGGGATGCAGAGAAAAGAAGCGTTGCTCTTCAAAATTAACATGAATCATGCCTGCTTTCGTAAGGCAAGTTAATTGCAAACAGGAAGGAACCTTTGACGTTTCACCAATCGCTAGGCTCAAAATCTGATTGTCGCAGTTCTGTGCCTCTGCCCTCGTGCCACTGTGTTATTCAAGATGATAGGCAGGATTATTCAATGTAAACCGTACATGAGTTTTGTATGGTATGGATGCGTATAAGCATATTACTATCTAAAGTCTGGCCTGTCCTGGTAATATATAAAATTGCAAAAACCCGTATTATTCATAATATTATTATCTGAGTGGATTATCTTAAACTTTGAAACGTTATAGTATGTTTTTATTTGCATATCCTTTGTACCCCAATTTCATAAATTATGAAATGTATTGAATAGATTTATTTTTTGTTTTAACGTTTTGCCCTTATTAAATGAAGAGTATTTGAAAAATATGTTTTATATTTTCTTTCACATATTTAAGTCAATAAAGGTAAAATTAGAAAAAAACTTATTATCATACAAGTAATTTACATTTAAAAATAATTTTTCTCTCCTACAAGTGACTCATAAATGGGAAATGCATTATACTACCACATGTCCATAATATAAGAAATTTTTAGAAGAAAATTTTGGTTTTAAAATATAAGTTGACAGGTTAATTAATGATATACTTTCACTTTATCCTTTATTACAAAAAGGAGAGGTAATTTTAAATACAGGAGAGAGAAGAAGGAATTTTCTAATCCCATTCTTTAACAAAAATAAAATATGTAACCCTTGTCAATTTGAAAATATTCCTTAATTTGTGAAAAAAACTCAACTAACATCTTATATTATATATTATGAACCGGTGGAAGTAGTTTTGTAACAAAAGACAAAGTGCGAATGGTAGCTAAGTGTGTTAAGACAGTTAATTTTGAATTACGAAAGGTTATTAACCGCACAAATTACTTGGTTTAGTTCTTAGATGCGGTATGACAGCCTCGAAGTGTTTCAAGTTTTCGAGACTTGCCCTGAGGAGAAAATGAGTGCGCGCGCGCGTGCGTGCGTGCGTGTGTATATATATATATAAGACTAAAATACACAAAACTTCCTTAAACTTTGAATTAGTTGCACACCATCTCTCTAATCTTTAAAAGTTTAAATTAAGAATCCTAACGTTTCATGTTTTGAATATAAATTCTCCTGTGGTTAAAATTACTGTTAACTTTAACAGTTTTTGTCATGTTAAAATTTTAAATTTTTTTTAATTATATATCATATCAACTAAAAAAATAATACTTATCATTTGACATAAATTTTAAGTATTTTATTTTTTTTCATTTAAAAAGACATGATTAGATAAATATTTTAAATATTTTTTAAAGTATTTTATACTTTTAATCATTTCATTTTAAATTTTTAGAAAAAATTTCAAATACCATGTCAAATGTCAAATATTATTTTTTAATTGATATGATATATAATAAAATATATAAAGATTGTGACATGACAAGTTCCGTTAATGTTAACAGTAATTTTAATGGCAGGGAAGTTTATAATCAAAACATGAAATATCAGGATTCTTAACTTAAACTGTTAAAGGTCAGGGAAGTGATGTGCAACTAATTCAAAATTTAAGAAAGTTTTATGAAAAAAAAAAAAGTAAAGAAAAAGAGAAGGGGTAAGAGTTAAGATGGGGGCGTAGATTTCCCACAATTATTGTACGAGGGGTAATATTTAGAGCAGACTGGGCTCCATATTCTGACGATGGAGGAACAGACAATGGAATGAGGACCCCTCATCGTGGCGTACGTGAAATTATTGAAGCTACCACATCGATATCAGGCTGTAAGTTTTCTACACTGCTGAAACTCACCTAATAATGTTGTGCATCGCAACAAAGACATTCTCTGAATGAAACTCAGATTGCTGTTCTGGTGAACTAAATTTTGCCTGGGTCTCGAGCCATTCTGTACCCCTTCCTTACAAGGGAATTCCTCTTCCCTGATCTTGTGAATTGCCCATGACAGAAACCTAGAGCCTACCATACGGCCATGGACGTCATTTCATAATTGCAAGCCATTCTTGAATCAATTCCCCAAAGCATATAAATAGAAGCCGGAGAAATGAGTCTGGTTGCCAGGTTCTTTACACTGTAATTTCAGCCAGTTTTACGGTGGTAGAAGAAGATTAGATTAGTGCGAGGAAGTGGATATGAAAGGTGTTGCAATCAAGGGGGTTTTTGACTAGCCAATTGAAAAGGCCCCAGGATAGTTACAGCTCAGTCGCGTGTTGATGAACCAATAATGTGGATGAATAATTTGTGTGTTCTTTTAGGGGATGATGATTGATGACAAGGCAGGGACCAAAATAGGAGGAAGATTAATGAGCCGAAGCTCGCCCTGCAATAATGCAAACCAAGAAACGGACGTTCAGAGTGAGGAAGTTCTACTACAACCTAAACCAAACGGCGTTTGCCTCCCTTTGCTGGACAGACGCATGAGAGTAGTGTACTTTGAATTGAACACAGTAAGTTCCTTAAGGAATCCTATTCCCCTCCAAGTCAAGTCAAGACATTTGGCACCAAATTAAATAGCTCCAGGATGGATGTGTTTAGCTTGGAATTCCATTTCCTCCACATTTTTTCTTTATATTTAGCTCCTTGGCATATTTCTCATCTAAGCAAGACACATTTCATTTTACAAACATGTACTTGTCTTCTATATTAACGTAAAACTTTTTCGGGTTCTTGACTTTTGGATTTATTCCCAATTTTATTTTATGGTTTGTATCTTGAAAAAAATTCCTGACATTGACAACCCCTTGAAAGTCACACCACCCTATTCCCACTCACCGCTCCTATTCATGACACATGTTACTTGTAATACGTTATCGCACATCAATAAATTTATTAAATTGACATGAGTTTTTACTTTATTTTTATTAAAGTTTCTCTCTTTCTTTTTACATTTACAAACCATTCTCATATATCTTCTTCCTTTCTCTCTTTCCAATAAAAATTAAATATAAAGATAAAATTGAAAAATAAGCATTAAATATATTATAAGTAACTTACATTGAAAACTAACAAGTGTCTTTCATTTAGAATCAGAGTGGTATAAGTCACTTGTACTCTATTCTCACATATTAAGAAATATAGTGAAATTGATAATAAAAAAAAATGACACTTGTCCTTGTTAAAGAAAGGTATTAATAAAAGAATGTATTGTACATTTTCTCATATTTTTTATTGTATTCAATAGAGATAAAATTAAAAAATTATCATTAATTACGCTATAAATGACTTACACCGAGTAACAAACATTTTTTTCCTGTGAGTAACTGGTGTAGTGATAGAGTGATGTCCTTTACATGCTTCTAAAATTATTCATACCTAGTGCATCTAAACACAAAAAATACACAAACACTTGTAATAAACACCTGTCATTTATTAAAGAGTAAAATTGTGAAAAAAAATACTTTCTTGAGGATTTAAAGAGATAATCATTTCTTGAGTCCAAAAAAAAAGAGATAATCATTTTATTTATGGCAGCAGATTTTCTTTTCTTTGGGGGGGGGGTGTTGAAATAAGTGGGAGCATTTAAAACGCTGAAAGTAGAAATAGAGGTGAGATGGGGAGGGGTGGAGCCCACAGAGGGAAAGCCCATAATTTGAACCAATAAATGAAGGAGGGGGTGGGGCCCATCTGAGAAGGAACGAGACAGGCAGCAATAGGCGGTGCCGGAGGGAACGCTACGGCCTCAGCCTATCTATGACTTTTGATCCCAACATCGTCAACGGTGCTGCCAGTGACCGTTGCCCATGGCCCTCCCCCGCCCCGTCTTTTCCCCTCTCATTTTCTTCTCTCCTCTCTCTCATTTTTGCTTAATTCCTTGTCCCCTTCTGGGATATAACAGTACTATAAAAACTTAATAATTAATTTAAAAATATTAAAATAATTATTTAATTAAATTATTCATAATAAATACGTCCTAACTTCTCTAAACCATCTTTCTATATTTAAAACTAAATTTAATTATTAACTAAATTGTATATTAATATGTATTTTGTATTTATTCCATCTCCATGCCCAAGTTAACGTTCGTTTTATTTGAAGCGTATAGGATCATGACATTGACCTCACCAAGGATCGAACTCAGGTTTCTCCCGTCTGGATTCATGCCACCTGTTCTCTCATTAAATGCACCTGCTTTTAATTCAAGCAACTTCTTTTTTTGTTTGCTTTTTGGTTTTTTCCGTTTGTGAGAGAAAGGTAGCGTACACACACATAAATTTTCTTACTGTATAGGATCAAATCAGAGAGAGAACATTCAAATTTTTATTATAATTAATATAATTTTTTGTCTCCAAAATTTAAATTTATTTTAGTTTTTTATCCTTCCAATTTTAAATAAATGGTTTTAGTTCATAAAATTTAATCTGTCTTAAAACATTAATCTCTAAAGTATAATAATTATTAAAATCTGCTAAAGTATCATCAATGACGTTAGAAGTGATGATGTTGACTTGTCAAATGACATTTACTTAGATCCTGTGTGAATAATAGAAGCAAAAATTACATAAAGGTCATTACCAAGAAAATTAAATATAAAAAGTCTCTTGAAAATCATCAAATTAATTTGAAGTTCTAAAAGATCTCATTGCAAAATATTCTACTTATTTAATTACCAAATTGCCTTCATTTTTTTAAGTATAAATTGATAGCCGAAAGGGCAACCATTAACACCTTAAAGTACAATGATTAACAACTAACATGATAGGTATTAATAACACATTTTCTCAGCGCATCACGAAGATTTAATGCATTGTATCTTAAGGTGTTAATAATTGTCCTTTCAGTTGTCAATGCATACTTAAAAAAAAAATATGAGGGCAATTTAGTAATTAAACCAGTGAATTTTTGACAATAAGGTCAATTAGAACTTCAGATTAAT